ATCACAAATGTTCATGCATGTACATGCTGATCAAACACACTTCTGTCTGCAGGCACAGATCACACATGTTCATGCTTTATACAGAGATATACACACAGCTGCAGTTGCCTGCATGCATGTAGGCGGCTCAGATGTGCACATGTATCTATTACAAACCTGTTCCCCAAGGACATGCACACCTGCCCTTTTCTTGGCACATCCTGAAGCTGAAGCTCATCTCTAACACCCTCACAAGCTGCTCTACAGGTTACAACTATTTGCTGAGAGCCATTATTTGCCAAGAACCAAGATTAGTCGTGCACTGAGCATATTAGACAAACAAGAAGCTCCATATTTTGTGTCTTCAAGCCTCAGACCACAAAAGTCAGGAACTGGCGACATTTTTGTTGTCCTTTTCTGCTGTCTGCTACCTGATTTGTCACCCCAAATGAAAACTGAATTCACACAGCCATTGCTTTTCTTGGCTTGTGGAACCTGGGTCTAAGAGGGCGGCTATGACAACCTGGTGTTTGGCATGAGTTCTGTGCCGCTGAGCTCAGAGCTGGAAAGTCACGGTCCTCCCATGACATAGGCGTGCCGTCTGTGACTAGCCTTCAGGTCTCTGGGATGGCTGGGTCTTTTAGGTATTGCATGAGAGTGCTCACCAAGTACTTCAGGAGACACTACTGTCTTTTCCAGACTAGTCCACGTGGAATGGAGCCTGAGTCCACCCCACCCCGTTTAGTGTAGACAACTTTTTTGAACTTCCTCGTCCAGATAGGGCACCTTCCTTCTTGGCTAGTCTGTAGGAAAGTGTCTTATGTTATGTTGCACAGAAGCCCACCAGCACCTGCCATGTCCCTCTAATTGTTTTCCTTTTAGGGCTCCTGAGCGTCTGGCTGCCTCTGTTTCTCTCAGTCACTTTGACCCTGATGTCTCACTGATGGACGGAAGGAAACCTGGTGTGGCTCCCAGCTCACTTCCTGCCGGCCAGGAGGGGAGATGCAGGCTGGTTTCCAGCCATAGGAGAGGGACTCACACTGCTCCCAGCTTGCGCTTACTCTCCCCCTTTAGCCCTCACTCTCAAAGCCTAGTTGTTATCTTTCAGTGCTGCTCTCCCTCCAGATGGGACTTGGGGTACATCAGCACACGGAGCCCCTGTCTCCTTACGGAATAATAATAATAATAATAATAAGTTTAAAACATCAGCTTTTGGACTCGTTCATTCAAATCTTCACTGAGCACACCGTCACTGTGGGCACTGTCTGTTGTACCGAGCATCACATGGTGGGACTAAAGCAGACCCTTTTCCTTATCTTAATGGGCTTCACAGACTCTCCGAGAAACTGGGATCTCAGAACAAAAGTTCTGCTATGCTACCTTAGAAAAGGCACACAATGTGTCTGAACATCACCTGTATAACCACCACTCACAGACAGACAGACAGACACACAGACACACACACACACACACACACACATTCATCTTTCCATTTGCCGAGCTCCTTCTGTGCCAGTTACTAAGCTATGCCAGGAGTATATCATTGGATACAGGCTATGAGCAACATAGGCACACGTCATGCCTCAGAACTTGAACATGCAATTCCAAAGGCTGCCAGGGACTCCAGACATGGAGAGTTTAACAGGCAACAGGAGGTGGCTGATTCTTTGCAATGGGGGCAGCCAACAGTGTCCTCACAAGGGCACACTTGGTTTTCCACAAATGAACTTTGGGGACTTCACATGTTCCAGGCCTACACTGGATGCTGAGAAACATTGGTGGATGAGACAAAGCCTGTCCCTGTCTCCGGGCATCTCAAGTCTTAGAGAAGAGATGTAGAAGCAATGGCAGGTGTCTTGTGTCTCCTTCGGACTCCTGCTCACTGCTCAGACTTCTCCTTGCCAATCCTAAAGTTGCAGATTTTCTCTCAGGCCCCAACAGTAAAGGAGTGCACAGACAAACCCTTTCCATGGGTAGAGAGACTTTGTGGGGCTTTATCCAAGGACAGGGACCAGATCCCATCTATGCTCAGACACCCAGAGATTTCAAAAGTCTCTAGAAAAAAAAAGTGTCACCAATGCTGATGGGAACTCTTTTCTCTGAGCCACCTGGTTTCCTGACCTTTCACTGGACCTTCCTGGGGCAGCCAAGGCCTCAGATCAGGGAAAGACACACGTGTGAGTCCGAAGCAAGGACTGCTGGAACAGTATGTCTTATGTTAAGAGCTCTTATCGCACACAGACACACACAGCACATGCAGGCTTCTTGCTATTATATAAGAGCTCTGCAAGTGACCCATAGGCTAGTCCAGTGCTATCCCAACCACGATTAGTCTGTGTTCTGCTTGGGCTGAGGGAGTTCATACGGAACGGTCTGTGCTGTGACTCAGGAGCAGCAGGACTTGAAGGGAAGGTCTGGGTCAAGAGAAATGAGCATAGGCTAAAGACAAAGGCTGGGTAAGGGGCAGAGGAGACATGTCACAATGCCATCTTTGCCCCTTCCATTTCTTTTCCCTTCTTGCTTTCTGTCTGCTGGTTACACAGCTTAATGTAGCCCCTAGATATTAATTAATTGATATTAATTAGAAACCAAATTAGATGCCAGACACTTCTATGGTAGTGAGGAAATAACGAATTATCAAAAGAGCCACTTTTGGTAACGACAATACTTTGAAATAATAACCATGCAATGTGACAAGTGGTGACAGCCACAGGGGAGGGGAGAAAGGCAAGGATAACAGATAACATGATAGTCCAATAGGAGTCCCATTTCACAAAGAATGATAGGGTATAATAAGGTATGACCTCCCTGACATCAGAGGCTAATGGAGTAAAGGAGTGAACTAGCCTGCTCGGGACAGCTGGAGATGATTGTCACAGGTAGCTGAACTAGTAACTGCAAAGATCCTGAGGCAGACTCTTACGCCTCTCCATCAAGGCTGACTGCCACCTGGACATGGGACGCATGACTCATGATAGGGGGCCTAGAACATACATTTGCCTTTGTCCATTTGTTTACTAAACAAATGCTTTCTCAGTGAAGATCAAGAGCCAGGTCCTCAAAGCGCCTGCAGACTTGACAGACTAGTTACCAGGCCAGGAAATGTGATTGGAGTTGTCCTGGAGAGACACGGGGACAGAGCAGAGAACCAGACCTGATGTAGAGCTAGGTTCTCCATCCTAGCTTCCTGGCAGAGGTGATAAAAAGGAAAAGGCTGAGCATGGAGCAATCCAGGCAGGGGAGGATTATGCAAGCATCCGGGGATGAGAAAGAGTTCGGAGAATCTGGCATTGGCTGAAGCAGAGCTGGTACAGCGAAGTCAGAGTAGAAGCAGGAAGTGTGAGCGGGGTCAGATCCCCAGGGCATAGTGAGCTAGGAGCAGGGGATAAGACAGACTGCAGAAACAGAGGCAAGAGAGAAAGCACAGAGACCAATCTGTAACCAGCACTAAAATCATCCTCTCGCGAGATAGAGACCTCCATTTGGACTGGTCAAGTGAAGCCAAGACTTGATAGAACCAAGAGGAATTTGAAATGCAGAACAATGAGATGTGGAGCTTCCTGGAATTGAGGCCCGAGGAAGAAAAGAAAGAGTCAGGTCTCCAGCTTGGAAGACTGGTGAGGAACACTGCCATCGGCCAACGTGGATGGTAGACAGAGGGAGAGGAGGGCAGTCAGGAGACTGATGGACTCCGACTGGAAGCTGTTGAGTTTGAGGGACCTCAGGTGTCTGTTCCCAAGAGGAGAAGCTCAGAAAGATCTTGGGACTCAGGAGAGTGATCTAAGATGGGACTCGGCATGTGGGGGAATTTGAAATTGAGCTATAGTTTGAATCTAAAATGGCCTTCATGGTCTCTTCTTACCAGCATTTTTCCTCAGGTGGTGGTGCTGTCTGGGATGCCACGGTGCCCCTAAGAGATGGGGTGCAGTTGGCAGAAGTCCACCACTGGGGGCAGACTATTGAAGGTCAGCTCTGAGTTCATGTCCTGTTTTTCTCCCCACTTCCTGGTCTTTGGTGGTGTGTTGCATGCTCCCATTGCCATAGACTAAACTATACTGTACTCTCCGCCATCATGGACTGAAGCCCCCGGTTCTGGTTAGTCTTCTGTCAACTTGATACAGGCCAGTGTTATCAGGGAAGAGGAACCACAATTGAGAAAATACTTCTGTGATATTGGCTGGGAGAGGGAAAGTCCATTGTGTTTCAGAGTGAAGCCCCTGGTAGGTCAACTACACCCCAGGGAACACCCATACATCCAAGAATATTTGGGCAGTACACATTGGCCTTGGAGGAAAAAGAAGACAATAGGTAGGGGACAATGGGACTAGATCTTGGAAGACTTGGGTAAGGGGCTGGATATGACCAAACTTTTAAAGTCTTTTTCACAGTTCTATGCCTTCTAAAGTCTAGGATAGCCCGCTTATGTTAAGGACTTGAAGGGGAGGCTATACCAATGTTGACTTTGTCCAAAAGCCTTGACGATCTCATTCCATTCTACATTTCAGCCCATTTTTTAATATGTCATTGGAAATCGGGTAAACTCTGTGGCTTAAGAATGGTGTTTCCTCAACCCCCTTCCTTCATTCTTTCACACTCCCTGGCACCAGATGAATAAAGAGGAAGTGCCCTAATGCAATTAGCTTGGAGCAGGCATTACACTGGACACCTACTGAGCAAACAAGCCTATTTGGTTTCGGTCTACTTTCCTCTGGGCATTTTTGCTTCCTTCTCACTCATGTTTGCTCTGCGGGAATGAACATGGCATTAACTTTATGAGTTTATTGGAGGATTAGATGGGAGAAATCATGATTGCAAGGTACTGGCAATGACTGGTGTAGGCAACCTTAAGTACATATTGCGATTGCTTGTGGAGAACCATTCATGTGGAATAGCGTCTTCTGGAAGAGTTTCCATGCAGGTGGCACAAAAGCCCTCCTTTCACTACCCTTACGGTAAATGGCTTATCTTACCTACGTCCAACAGGCCCTTGCGCCTGGGAACTTAGCGCCAGTCCGGCCTCAGCACCAATCAAGAAGAGCCACATGAGTGGGGAGTGTCTGTATAAATGAAGCAGACAGCAAGTTCTGTTCCCACGCTGGGCAGAAGAGGAAGGAGCCTCTGGGTTCTTCGCTGACGGTAAGTCCTGCTCCAAGGTCCAACAGGCTTTCTCCTCACCTGCAGGTGAGTTTCACCCTCTTTACCTACTTGACTTACCTGGAGCATCTGGAAACCCAGAAGTGATTCTGGACCTTAGCCATTGTCAAATGTTCCCCAAATCAGTCAGCTCACAGTCCCAGTCACTGGCTGGCTCTGGCCAGCTATATAGGACATCCTTTACCTTTTTACTAAGAAGATATCAGTCTCAACTTGGGTTAGCGACTCTCAAATTGCAGTCCTGGGTGCTCCTCTGATCCTGCTCTCTCATAATGACTCATGATATCCCATCAGAAACAGGTTTCTAGCTCCAACTTAACATTTTTTTAGAGGCTGCAAGAACTCGCCTAGAGGTCCCCTTTCAGGGTACAGAAGGATAAATGTCACCTGAAGTTGACATACATTTTGCCTATCTATTATTTACTTGCTTCTTTGCTTTGATTATTCATTCATTAATTATTATATCATGTAACTTTTTTAATTGGGAGTCAGTGTGTGCTATCTTCTGTACTAAGAGATAGGGGGTCCTGAATTTAATCTAACATAACACAATGCTTCTGAAATCCCAAAGGGTCTGATGCTTATAATTAAGACAGACTCCACTCTTACTCATAGGCATCAGCAGGCATTAGAGAGTGTCTGTTCCCACCTGCTCAGGGACTTTCTAAACATCGCTCTAGAACATTCTGCAGCACTCAACCACCTTTGGCTTGCTTGTTAATGGATTTCATCCTGGAAAGCCTTTAATCCCATTCCTCTCCATTTCTGCACATCAGGCCAGCAGTAGGGTTTTGAAAACCTGGACCTGTTGCCAGGTCTGTGTCACGTCCATAGCTGTCCAGAGAAGCAGCTGTATAGATAGGTTTGGTTTAACATACTATATAAACTAAACTTCTTCACCACAAAATGGGAACCATGACAGCACCTTCCTGTGGAGTGGGGCAGAGACTAAAGTGAGGCAAGCCATGCAAAGGGGCTTCAAGCAAATTTCGTCACACGATAGGTGCTGAACTGAGTTTCAACCCCACCCCCAGGCACAGTGGTCTGTGGCCAGACCTGACGGGAGCCTTTCCATTCCTACAGTTACATGGAGAGTCTGCAGACAGCGGCGGTGTGACCTGCAAGCCTCACTTTACGGGAAAAGATGGTGGGCTGTGACCTGCTGTGGCTGGCTGTGGCCTCCTGCATTCTGACGCTGGCCTCTTCATCTACAACAACACAGCAAGGTGAGTATCTGCTCGCCAGGGGTCACAGATACTCAGCAATGCCTAGGGAGTGAGCAGAGGGCGGGAACAGAAAAGGCCACTCAGGTTGGTTCCAGGAACAGGGAGTTGGGAGCAAAGACTCAGAGATAGAGAGAGCAAGGAAAGCAGCAATCTCTCTCTCATAGCCTGAAAGGGCAGGGGAGTCAGTAACCTTTGCTTCTGCAGCCCCTTTCTGAGGGTGATCAGAGAGCACAGACTGGGAGATAAGAAGGTCACCCTGTCACCTCCTTTCTCCTTCCCTATCAAGTTGCTCATCTATAAAAACAGAGGTGCTAGAATTAACAATATTCTTGTCTTCTATTTCTCTGTCTCTGTCTGTCTGTCTGTCTCTGTCTCTGTCTCTCTCTCTCTCTCCCCCGTGTGTGTGTGTGTGTGTGTGTGTGTGTGTGTGTGTGTGTGTGCGTGCGTGCGTGTGTTTGCTGTCTCTCCATTCTCCTGTCTCAGCCTTCGGAATTCTGGGATTAAATTCACACATCATCACCCCACCCAGCTTCTCAAATCTGTAAATGAGAGCAACCCAGACACTTGCAGAAAAAGTTCCCAGCTGGGAGTGCAAATGTGAGCCCTGTGGTGGGAAGCTGGGAAGAAAACTGAGCTCTGGGAGCTGAGCTCCTTCTCCCGTGGGAAAGCACCGGGTGCTCTGGAAATGACCCAAGAATAACAAGGACAATTGCTCTCCTAAGAGCAAACATAGCCATAATCAAGACTGGAAAATGGCCTTTCCCTGCCTTCTTATAGCAAAGTCTCACTGGCACACATAAGATTGTGATCCCAAAGAGACCCTTAGTTTATCATTCTAGGGGTAACTGGCTGCATCTGGGTGTTGTCTGTGGCATTGTACGGTAACCATCTCATTTCATCTTTAAGTATTTACCTCCAAAATGAAGCACTCCTACTCAAAATGACCCTGGCAGCCTGGAAAGTGTTTCAATTTTTTTTAATGGTTGTATATTTACTCATGAATAGTAAATAATATAACTAATACAACCATCCCTACATTTCTATGTTATCAGAGATATTATTCCTCTAGATGAAACTTACTTATCTATGTATTTATAACTGTGTGTGTGTGTGTGTGTGCACACGTGTGCACAGCATACACATGTGGAATCCAGAAAACAACCTTAGATACCATTCCTCCAATGCCATCGGCTTTGCTTTTTAAGACAGGGTTTCTCACTTTGGCCACAGCTTAGGCTGACTTGTTTGTGAACCCCTAAGGCCCTGCCTACTCCCACTTCTCCAGCACTGGGATCAGAAGCGCATGCTACTGTGCCCAATTCTTTAAAGTGAGCTCTCTGTGATCGATCTCACGTCTTCATGCTATCTCTTCAGTATCCCTTAATTATTTGATTTTTAAAAGGAATCACTGAAGAAGTCTCTACAAGTCAATCACAGGAACAAGAACACCGGTGTACAAATGTCAGGGCCTGAGGTGTGGGAAGGGCATTTGGAAACCTTGAACTATTGGGGTGGCTTTGCATTTGAGTCCTAGGAGATCCTTATCACTTTTCAAGGTCACCAGCCAGCAGATCAGAGTTGCATTTAAATCTCCGCTTACAGCCTCTGACCATCCGCTTCATTACTTCTCTGCCTCTTCATACAGCGTGATTCACCCCCCACCCCAACCCTCAAGTGAAAAATCAGCTGCAGAATTGGCCCTGTTAGATGCGTGGTTTTCAGTGGAGGTGATTTCAGCTTTCTGGGACAATCGGAGATGCCCAGAGTCTTCAGAAGCGGCTACTGGCTTTGAGAGGGTAGAGGCCAAGGGTTCTCTGATTCTGTTTTGATGGCAGCTACACAATAGTGAATAACACAGCCAATAATCTACCAGTAATACTAAGTTTGCTTGAGTGGCCTGACTGATCTGTGGATGCCGACCTGTGCTGTTATCTACTGAGAGGGAACAGTGCTATTTTTGTAATATATTAAAGACTACAACCAATGTTTTAGAATGACCCTCTGTCTCTCTCTCTCTTCTCTCTCTCTGTGTGTGTGTGGGGGGGGGTGGGTGTGGGGGTGTGTGTCTGTGTGTGTCTGTGTTTGCTTAGGCATGGGAAAATTCCAAGGGTTATACAACAAATTTGTGCTTACTTCTAGAGATTGGGTCCAACTTAGGACAACTTTCATTTTATGACATATTTTGCCAAATCAAGCAACCTGACAACATTTATTTCTGCTTAGTTCACTTTACTAATATCTGGGGATTTTCTCAGGGATCCTGTGTTATATATTGAGAAAAACAAACATTGATTGAATGGGACACACACAGTGTCCTGCTAGTGGCCCACAGAGAAGCTCTTTGAAGCCTTGGGTGGGGCAGTGGGGTTACGTAAGGAGGTGGCTGGGATGTCCTTGCTGTACGCAAAATGCCATGGAAAGTTCTTCCTGACCCTTCTGCTCCCTGAGTGACAAAGTCTGGCATTAATTACTATAGTGTGTACCTATTGGCCTCACTGGAATCATTAAGGCATTCAAAGCAGAATGGAGAAGGGATAAAAGCCCTGAAGGCTATGGCGTTGCTTAATAAACCGGCATGCTCTCCATTCTTCCCAGGTTATGGAGGCTCCAGGAACGGTGGCTCTGATGGGCTGGACTGTGAAACCCCTGGCTCCTGCTTTGACCCTTGCCAGAATTACATCACCCTGGATGACCCGTCCAGAAGCACAGAGAACATGGAGGAAGGAGAGGAGTGTGATGAAAATCTGTGGGGCTGGTACCGCTTTGTGGGTGAAGGGGGAGTGAGGATGCCAGAGACCTGCGTGGACGTATTCCGGTGCCATGCCTCTGCTCCCATGTGGCTGAATGGAGCTCACCCCGACCTGGGAGATGGCATTGTCAGCCACACAGCCTGTGCCAACTGGAATGAAAATTGCTGCTTCTGGAGTTCTGAGGTCAAGGTGAAGGCCTGCGTAGAAGAATCAGGAATCTTTCACGTGTACAAGTTCCAGGGCACCCCTGAATGCAGTCTGAGATACTGCACAGGTAAGAACCCCTGAGTGCAGTCTGAGATACTGCGCAGGTAAGAACCCCTGAGTGCAGTCTGAGATACTGCGCAGGTAAGAACCCCTGAATGCAGTCTGAGATACTGCGCAGGTAAGAACCCCTGAATGCAGTCTGAGATACTGCACAGGTAAGCAGCAGCTGCAGGACAGGGTGACTTTTAGTGCCCAGGACTCGGAGGAGCCAGTAGAGGTGGTCAAGAGGAGACTAAGCCAAGCAGCCAGCACTGGGCTCCTGTCAGAAATACAGATGGAAACATAATTTGGGAGCTGCCAGGCACAAGCCAGAGATTCATGTTTGAGGGTGAGATAGCCTGAATTATAAATGCATATTGCATAATGTCAGGCTAGTTAGAAGACTCAGTAGCTAAAATGTGCTTGCTATACAAGTGTGGGGACTGTGGGGACAATCCTCAGCACCCATGTAAAAAGTTGAAAGCAGTAAAGCTCGACTGTTACCCCAAGACTGGGAATCTGAGACAGGAGTCTGGGGGTTACTAGCTGTCAGTCTCGAGCCAGGTTCAATGAGAGACCCTATCTTAGAGGAATAGGGTGAAGAGGGGCTGAGCAGGACACCTGATGTCTTCCTCTAGCCTTTGTGCATAGGTGAGTGCTCACGCCCACATATCCATGCACAGCACTTGCATACACACGCATGCATGCACACACACACACGAATAATATCAAGAACCCAGGCTCATTCAAATTTTACTTTTGTCAAATTTTATTCTTCTTAGAACCTGTTTTCTTATCTGAAACAAAAGGGCAAAACTAAGAGCTTGCATTGCCCACAGTGCACCTGCGACCATTCTGCTTTAAACACATTGATGCCCTGAATCTCCCTAGTCAGTCCATGAAATGGCGTCTATGCAGCCATTCATATTAGGATCTGGAGCACAGAAAGGTCCAAGAGCTCTCCCTGTGTCACAGAGCTGGGATGCAGAAGAGCCAGGCTTTAAACCCAGGTCCTATAACCCTGGCAACCGTGGACTTAAAATCTTTGGCCTGGCGGCTTCAGGGGTGTTGCTCACTCAGCTGGAATTGGGAATCAGGAAACAGGAGTTGGAGGTTTGGCTCTTCGGGCAAGAATCTCATGTGTTTGTAAAGACTGAAGGAATGAGAGAGTTGGCTTGGGAGGACTCAGACCCTCCCTGCTCTGCATCTTATTCTTCTTCCTCTGTCCCTCTAGAACCTGAAGAAATTTTCACCACAACCCCTGAACCCACCACTGAACCCACCACCACCCCCGAACCCACCACCACCCCTGAACCCACCACCACCCCCGAACCCACCACCACCACCTACGATCCCATCACTGAACCCACCCCTGTACCCACCACCGAACCCATCACTGAAACCATCCGTCCACCCACCCCTGGACCCACCCTTGAACCCACCGAGTGTGATATCACTTGCCGTCCTGAGGAGAAATGTGTTCTCCAAGATGGTTTCTGGACCTGCGTCTGTAATCCGGACCTCAGTGTTTCTGGTGAGTAGCTCCTGGGGCTGAGCAGACAGGGCAAAAGGAATGAGACTTAAGAGGGTCAGGATAAGGCAGGGACCAGCGTCAGGGGCCATGCAACTGACATTGGGGACATCTTGAGATTTAGTTAGGCTACTTGTTACGAAGCCGGTGGGTTTGCAAGGGTGAGAGAAGGTGGGGCCCAACCAGACTTCCAGGTCAGCTGTTGGAATGGGCAACTGGTGGCACGGGCATCTGGCTTTGGTTTAGCATCGAATATAGAACCACTTTGATTTTCCAAGAGCAGCTAAGTCAAGCCTGTATCTGAGAGGCTTAGAAGTCTTTAATCGGAGACCTCTTTATCAGTGTGAGTGTGACTTGTGTTGGAGTCTCTGACCCCATCTAGTCTATCCTGCAATGGGCATGGTCAGTTTGCCAAAAGACAGAGAAGGAAGATGTTCCTCGTTGTTTCCAGTCCTCTGTCCACACCACTGACCTTACTCTTGGCCTCCTAGATCCTCAGAGTCTGCAGCCTGAGCTGGACTGTGGACCTAGTGAGATCAAGGTGAAGCTGGACAAGTGCTTGCTGGGAGGTCTGGGTTTCAAGGAGGAGATCATTGCCTTCCTGAACGACGGGAACTGCCGTGGAATCATGCAGAACGAGCCCAACAACTGGGTGTCCACCACCAGCCCCGTTATGGCTGGTGCCTGTGGGAACATTCTGGATGTAAGTGGTGTTAAACACCGCTGCTAGCAGTGGGTGGGATCTGGGCTAGTGGGAGCATCTTTAGAGCCGTGAGATTGTAGGCAACCAGCTTGTCCTCTTTGGGCTGCCAGGGTTCTGTGGATTTACACATGTTGGTCCATGTTGAAGAGTCTGGTCCAGATTAGGCTGGGCTTAGTGCTTGAGTTTCATGAGGTCAGCTCTGATCACAGTGGTCTTCATTAGCGGTGGTGTGGGAAGAGCAAGCATGGCAGCCCCTGACTCTTCCCCAGGGTTAATCATTCAATTTCTAGGGTTTACTCTGGGCTTCTTGTAAGTAGTAGCACTGCAGAAAAAAAAGAGGACCCCTTATTCCCCGCATTCCCTGGGGGGGGGATGTGTGTCAGAATTCAGGGTGACTGCATGGCTGGGAGCACTGACTACGGACTCAGGCAGATCTGAGTTTGAGATACACCTACACTCATCTGCATAAACATATGTGCTTTCATTTTTTTATGCCAAAGAACAATGGAACTCATGCCATCTACAGAAACAACCTCTCCTTGGCCACTGATTTCATTATCAGGGACATCATCGTCAATGTCAATTTCCAGTGTGCCTACCCACTGGACATGAAGATCAGCCTCCAAACTGCTCTCCGGCCCATTGTAAGGTATGATCACACATACAATCTGTGATGACCACACAGTGGCTACCACCCCACTGCAGGAGCTTCCAATCACTACATTTCTGTATTGTAGCTAAGGACATTTAGAGTGATCAAGAAACTCATGACTAGTAAAGATTTTTACTAGGAAGCAATGCTGTACCATGGATTGGTGTTCGAAATGTGCTCAGTAAGCAAAACCTTCAGACAGGTTCATTCACCTTGAGGGAAAGGCAGTGGACAAGCAATCATATCAACAGTCATAGTTGATAGTTGTTTGCAAATCAGATAATGCAACGTAGGAGCAATATGGGCGCTTCAGGTCAGTAGACATGGATCCCAGACCTGATCTTTGTGTGGTAGAGATTAGAAGGGGTCTAGGAGGCTTTCCTGTAGGCTTGAGATTTAAGTCAAGTCTACTTTAGAAGAAACGACACCTATACTCACAAGAAATAGAACGAAAGGACGGTTTGGTGTGATTGGATCCAGGCAGGGTTTTTGTTTGCATTTTGTTTATCACTGCACCTTTTCCCCAGAACGAAGCTCATTAAATTAGGTTTTATACAACTCTAGAATTGCCAAGGGATTTTTCTAAACTGTCAGCCAGAAATCCAGGGTGCTTGTCTCATCCCCCGATTGCCTCCTGGGCTCACAGAATTGCAGGATGAGAAGAATTAAAAATGTCAAAGTTCAAAGGTTTTCAGGCTATATCGTGTTGGAGTCCATGTTCATAAATATAAAAATGAAAGTCATTTATCTTGTTCAAACTGGGTTCGGCTGAAGCTTGTGGGGTGGACTCAAGAGACGACACGAGGCTAAAAATTGTGAGCCTGTAAGAGCTGATCCCAAGCCCCATTGCCCAGGTGAAAAGATGGTGCTGTGTACTAACCCATGTTCCTTGAGTAAGAGTTTGATGTAGCTGCCACACAGGGAGGATGGGTGTAAACCCTGGAGACAGGCTTGCCAGTCTGTCAAGTTCAGAGCTTAAATGCCAATAAATGATCTGTTTCAATGGATTATCAACTTGTTCATTTACAGATCAGAGATGCATCTTTTTCTCCATAATATTGTCATAGTGTAAGGCTTGATTTATTTGCTTCTTTCTTGTCAAAGCCTGATGTTTCCACTCTTGTGATTTTCCTCGTCTTAGTTCCCTGAATATTGATGTGGGCGGGGCAGGAGAGTTCACTGTCAGGATGGCCCTTTTCCAAGACGAGAGCTACACACAACCTTATGAAGGGGCCGAAGTGGCGCTTCAGGTGGAGTCTATGCTCTATGTGGGTGCCATGTTGGAGAGAGGAGATGACTCCAGGTTCAAGCTGTTGCTGAGAAACTGCTATGCCACACCCACAAAAGATAAGAATGACCCCGTGAAGTACTTCATCATCAGAGACAGGTATCAGTGCACTCTGGGATTAATTGTTTTTGTTTATTTTGTTTTGTTCTTTTCATAGCTAAGTTTTGGATTAAAACGTTGTCTCATCCATTGCTGGCTGAGGTGCAAATTGATTCACTTTATTTGGAAATGATTTGTCTTTACATATTTTAAGCACCCTGTTTGATCTTGGAATGTTATTCCTGATATTTTAACCTAAAGTCTTTAAAAAAAACTGGATGAGTGGGGCAAATAAATGCAAATAATTTTCCATTTTAGTATTCTTGATAATTTTTCATTATGTTTACTGTTAAAATATAGTTCAATTGAGTAATAATGGACTATTATACAAATGTTTATACTGATTAAAGTGAATGTGATATACGAATATTACAGGACAAGATATTCTTGTATGTCATTTAATGATAAAACAAAGGAAATGCCTGCCTGGAGGTTACAATTCAAATATTAATGGTGCTTAGTAAAATTCATGCTTGAGCTCAGCTGTGTGACCAGCTCTGTAATGAGAAATGCACACAGTGGTCTCCCTAAGTGCTCATCTCAATTATATGAAATGGACATGCCTGTCTCTGCTTTACAGTCAAGGGATACATGGAGGGTTGGAGGAAAATGGATGGTATGATCACATTTCATTGTATATGTGCATGGAATACTCGAGAATACAGAAAAAAATAAAAAGAGTATGGAGGAAAAAACAAATAAACTGGACCATGGAGGCACAACAAGGATGATTAGCCAGGCCTGGATCACTTACAGAGAAATGGGGACTGGAATCTTCTGATTCATCCTAGAAACTGGGCACGCCAAGACTTAAACCATACAAACTTATTGTGGAAAGACAGACTAGAAAAATGAGAGAATGATGGACAGAGCCTGTGGCAGAGAACTCCTTAATGCTCTCCAGTGTGGGCTTAGAAGTTACACCTTTGCCCCTTTTATCCTCCTAGCTGCCCAAATCAACACGATTCCACCATCAACGTGGAGAAGAATGGGGTGTCCTCAGAAAGCCGATTCTCAGTACAGATGTTCATGTTTGCTGGAAATTACGACCTAGTTTTCCTGCATTGTGAGGTGAACCTATGTGACTCCACTAATGAAGAGTGTGAACCAGTGAGTGTCTCTTTGGACTGGTATCCAGTTGGCTCTCCACATTTATTTATTGGAGTCGTGGATGGAAAGAAGGGTGGCTAGATATATAAACAGAAGGAAAAGAGGGAGGAATGAAGGAAGGGAGGGAGGGAGGAAAGAAGGAAGAAAGGAAGAGGAGAGGAAGTAGGAAGGGAAGGAAGAAAGTTGGTTGAATGGATGGATGGATGCTTGAAGAGGTGGGAGGCTGGATATAAGGAAGAGAAGAAAGAAGAAAGAAGGTCTAGACTGAGCATCCCCAAAGCCTATTTATGAGCAATCATTGTCTCTTCACAAGGCAGATCAATTTTCCTTGGCATAACAACTGTTATGAATGATTACGATGTTACAGCTTCAGCATCATGGATTCAAAAATTTCAAACCCAAAATGATCCAAACTCTTAAAGTTTTTGAGGGACAAGATGAAACTCAAAAGTTTCAGATTGTGGAGAAGGTTGGGTTGCAGATTCTCAGATTATAAATGACTAACTTGTAAAGACCGTGAATGTTCCAAAATCTGAGAAACTCCCCAATACTGACTACTCCTGGACCTCAGGTTTTCAGTGGGGGACAAATGTGATTTGTGGTGAGGCCTTTTCAGTCCCTTCTCTGTGTCAGGCTCTGCCCTAAAGCCCCCACACCTTATCTACCTGAGCTCTCACAAGGACTAAATAATCAATCCTCACTATGCAAATAAAGAAACTGAGGCTCAGAGAAGCCCCTGACATAGCCCCATATAGGGCTAGGGTATCAAAATTGAAGTGTTCCCCATCTGAGCTGTGACTCCTAAGCCCATACTTTTACATCTAATGGGCAACGTTTGAACGGCTGATATTCCTTGGATGCTTACAATGTGTCTATATGTTGCTGTCATACTTCACGTTAATGTTTAAAACCAAATGTGCAGGGCTTGGGAGATCCGAATGGTAAAATGCTTGCTATACAAGCTGAAGGACCTGGATTTGGATCCCCTGCACCCATGTGAAAACTAGGAAGTCAGCGTTGTCTGTAACCCAGGTTCTGGGGGGAGAGAGACAGGAGGATTCTGGGGTTTCACTAAATCACCAGCCTAACCAAAAGGACAAGCTCTAGGTTCACTGAGAGATCTTGATCAAAAAGTAAGATGACAGCAATATAGACAGACACTTGATATCAATCTTTTGCTCCCCACATGCCTGTATGCATAAATGAACAAATGAATGTATGAATAACTAGCTAAATAAAACTAGATATGAACTATTTGATCGTAGATAGATAAAGACATTCGTCCCAATTATACAAGAGAGGATAGATTTGAGAGTCAAACCCAGGTATATTAAAGCATGACTATGAATTCTCACAGATGAAAGAAACCATAGCATCAAAAAGGTCATAGGGTGGGCTAACCAAGTGCTTGGGCCATAGTTTCACAGATGTTCCTACCCTTGACAACCTGCACATAGGAACCAGGTATTTGCATTTTGATATAACAAGAGTCCCATGTCTCTACAGTCTTGCTCTAGAAGTCAGCTCCGCAGCAGTGGACCAGGCATCAACTTGGCCCAGGTTCTCGATTTAGGACCCATCAGTAGGAAAGGTAAGTATGTGAGTCCTGGTGCAAGGACAACTGGCCGAGTGTCGATAATTACCTGTGGACATTTAGGGTTACCAAGGCTAGCCCCCCGTGGGCTTTTCTGCTTTCTCGCTACTCTCATTGCTGTGACTGTGTCTTTCTATGGAGTGGAACTCTCTTGGCATTTATGGCGGCGTCAGTGGAATAGAAGTCGGGTGAAACTCTTGCATTCATCAATATTCTTCATCCTCCCACGACTGTGTTCATTTAGTTGTTAGAATCCCAGGCTCGGAGAGATTAACAGACTTGCCTAAGATCACTTGCTTATGAGTGACAGGAGTTAGAATCAACCCAGATGAGTCTGATTTCACCACTTTTCCCCACAGCTGGCACAGGGTAATTCCGCTCTATCAGGGTGAAAGTGCTTTCCAAAATTTAGCCATGATCCTCTGTAGATAGGATATGGGGGAAATTATGCAACCGCTCTCTAACACTTCATTCATCCCACACAAGTGTGTGTAGTACTGTCATGGTTGTTATTGCCACCTGACTGGAGGAGCAAGAGCCCCTCCTGCCAAGAAAGAAAGAGCATTCTGCCTTGACAAAGTTAAGATGCAGTAATATGAATTCTCATCAAATAATAATATTTTTATCTGCGCTCTGTGCTGAACAGCTTTATGTGTATCATCAGCTTGGCTGCTCATGGCAGCCTCAGGTGGTCAGCACTGTCCTCTCTTCTCCCTCCGGGATGAACAAGCTAAGCTGTCTCGTGAGGAAGTTCTGCCTTGAGTGGTCCTGCCCCTCCCCCCTCCCCATGTCGAGCTCTCAACTTAGAGCCTTGTGCAGTGTCACAGGACAATTTGAGGACGTAGGGATTGTGGGCATCCACAGTGGAAGCAAACACACAGGTCTTGTTAGCTATTCATCGCAGGGACAAGATTGCTGGGGAAAGGACTAAAGAGGAAAGACCTATTTGGGCTCACAATTTCAGAGGTTTTGGTCTACGGGGACTTGCCTCCATATGTTGGGGCCTCTAGCCAGGCAGAAGGTCCCAGAGGAAGAATGAGGTGGAACAAAGCTGTTCAGTTCATTGCAGCCAGGGAGGGAAAGGAGAAGGAGGGAGAAGGAAGGGAGAGGGAGGGAATCCATGGAGCTTTCCCCATTTCCCCTTTGGTCCAGGCTGTAGAATAGTTACACACACATTCGGGGAAGTCTCTTACTCCTCGAGCTGATTTCTGGAAAATCCTTCACAGACACACCTGGAACTGTACTTTGCCATCTCCTAGGTGCCTCTCAACCCTTCCTAGCGGATGGTGGGAAGTAACCATCATGTTGGAGCTGCAATCCCAACTCTGACACTGTCTGAAAAAAAATCAACTTAGCAAGTTCATTGACATCATTGAGTCTCTGTCTCCCCCCACCATCCCAGCCAAACGGGAGATGAAGAGACTTTCTTTATAAACCTGTTAGAAAGATTAGGCAGAAACTGCATGGAACGTACTTAGATATGCGCCTGCCAAGTCACCAAGGCCTCCACAGTGAGGATTGCCAGTGGGGGTGGTGACCAGGTCCAGGAGGGCTGGGAGCAGGACTGCAGCCATCAGAGGATGCCCAAGGAGACCCTCACCTTCTGCTCTTGCCCACAGGTGCTAAGAATCTCGAGACCTCGAATGGGACTCCCGGCACTGCAGGTATTTGACTTCCTTAGCATCTCACAGCACTGTGGAGTCTCTTTCCTTCCATCCTCCAACCCTCTGGGTATCAGTGTACCCCCTTCAATGTGCCAGGCCCTGTTCTGGGGTCCTGACTCGGGAAATGATGCTAAGCCAAGGGTGGTTCTATAATCTAGCAGAGGAGACACTTGCATAGCAGCAAGTGTTTTCCAAGTGTTACCCTGTGCCAGGAACTGTTCTAGGAACTGAAAATACGTTGCTGATCAAGACAGTCCAGGGTGCTTACTCTCATAGAACTTATATTCCAGGATGATAAATAGACAATAAACAGTAAGAAAAATAATTAGAAATAAAAGATAGGTAGTACTATAAGAAGCTACAGGCATAAATGATAAAGTCTTAAATCAGAGAGAAGTTTATTTTTCCAACACATAAATGAAATCTTTGGGTAAGAAAATCCATGATAGAGCCATCAATCAAAGATTCAAGATTCTTCCAGCTTACTTTTTCAGGTGTGGCCATCATTTTTTTCCAGACAGGGTTTCTCTATAGCATTAGAGTCTGTCCTGGAACTAGCTCTTGTAGACTAGGCTGGCCGTGAACTCACAGAGATCCGCCTGCCTCTGTCTTCCGAGTGTTGGGTTTAAAGGCATGCACCACCACTGCCCGGCCTGTGGTCATCATTTTTATGGTCCAAGATAACATCCAGGCTTCCAGAAGGAAGAACATGAAGGAATTCAATGAGCATTATGGAAAGTTCGGGAAGTTGGCATCTCACACCTCATCTATATCTCCTTGTTTATTATCTACGTGGCTGCGTGGCTACACCTGGCTGCAAATGAACATGGGAAATGGAATCTTTGTTTTGGATGGCCATGTGTCCAAACAATGTTTGATGGTGTGATGACCGAAGTAGGAAGATAGGGTAGGTCAGAATTGTTAGAAGAAATAATATTTGACCAAGAGAGCAAATGTTTCTAGATCAGGAACTACTAGATGAGTGGAACCCTACAGGCAGAGGCAACAAGAGCTGACTAAATAAATGAGACAGGGCATATGCTGTTAGTGTCAAGTGGGTGGACAGAGTCTGAGTGCTTAGGGACCTAATTAACCAAACTAGATATGGTCAAGAGAGTTTCACACGGCACAGAGACGCCTGAGTGGGGTGTTGATGAATGACTTAGAATTTAAGACCAGAGACATTGAAGAATGTGTTTTGGATACTATGGAAAACACAGTTTTTCTATCTTCTGAAAGACAGACATTAGTGAATCCAGATGGGAAAAGGTTCCTTTTGTGTTCAAATCCTCAACTTTGCGGCAGTCTAAATATTTCCCAAATAAGTACAGTTCAGTGGTAACTTCAGATGGCGTTCAGAAAAGAAAGATCCATGGTGTGAAATGCACAGGGCACAGAGTAAACGCACCTGGAAATCAGGGACCTCACGTCTGTCATTTCCACCACTCCTCCAGGTTAGCATCTTACTCAGAACTTTCCAGGTGGGCTGCAGACAATGGATCCTTCTAGAGGAGGGGAACGGAGCTGCTGAGAGCAAACAGCCACCACAAGAGGGCTCTGTGCTTCCCATAGTTTGCAAACACCCAGAATCCCTTCTGATGCTTCAGGATCAAGCATCTAAGTCTTTTTGTAAAAGCTCTGTCATACATCTGTGTTCCTGAGAATCACACTCCCTTCCTCGTGCACTAGGACATCATCAAGTGACTTTCAGTTGTTGGGGGTGGGGGGACACTGTGATTTGGCAGTGGTCTCAAAGGGGTCGACATACTTATAGAAGACAACTGTCATTCAATATTCCCCCTCCCTAACACTGAACATTAAATAGTATGCAGAAGACAAACACACACACATATACATGTACACACACACACACACACACACACATCCTAGATATCTCAGTTTAATTTTCAAAACCAACACTCACACAATACTTAGCATATTCTAGGCGCATATTTTATATTTTATCTTATTGCAGCATGAGATATTGAACCTAAAACAACACATTTGCTGTGCAAATGTGTTGCCACTGAACTATAGCTCTCAGTCCACAAATGGTATTCCAAATGCTTGATATGAATTGATTCACTTAAACCTTATGAAATCTGATAAATCAATAGGTGCTATTAATAGTTGCCTTTTGTACATAAGGACATTTGGGCACAGAGAAGGGTAATGTTTTGTTCAGGTCTACCCAGGTAGATACAGAGCTAAGATTCCTAGCTAGCTAGTCAAGCCTCAGACAGCACATTCTAATCCTTCCTGCCTCTGCATTCGTAGTCGCTGTAAGTAATGCTAGCGCTATAACCAATAGCCCTAAATCCTCTATGCCTTTGTGCTAGGGGATACAGTTCTGACCTAGGAAGTCCTTAGAAAGCCAGGCTCCTCCTACCCTCTGGCAACGTCACTGTGTTCTGTGAGTCAGATCTTGGACACTTGGCAAATGAGAGAGTATGCAGGAGACTTTTATGACTCATCCTACAAATGGAATTTAAAACTTCCATCCTTATTTCACTGACAGGATCTATTCATATGATACCACCTATTTTCAAAACTCTCCAGAAGAAAATGGGAAAAGCAGTTGTTGTCCCAACCAAATCTAGGGCGATGTTGCCTTCCCCTTCCACAGCAAGTGGCAAGGAGGCCAGCAGGCATTGACTGCTAAGCTCCAAAGCCCAACATTTGACTCCTGTCCCTTGTGTTTCAGGGTTCCTGATGGCCTGGCCCATGCTCTTCCTGCCTGTCTTCCTTCCTTGGCTGTTTTGAGAGGCCAGCTGGGCATCTGGCCGAGAAGTTTATGTTCTTCCCTCTGGCGATGGCTCTCATCCAGCCTTCAGTAGAGCTGGATCCCTCTGTGTATCATGTGGACTGCCCTGGTTCAAGGCTAGGCTGGGTTTGGAGAAAGGGAAGAGCATGCTCTGTTATGTTCCTCTTTCTCTGCTGTTGAGGCCCTGCCAGCTTGTCCTAGGCCAGCTTCCTCACTCATTAGCGAGGCTTAGAAAGGGAATCCAGACGCGCTTGGTTTCTCTTTGATGCTAGTAATTAGTGGAAATGCAAAGCATATTATAACTCCTGGATAGAGGTGTCCCGTGAGTGGAAATTCATGGTTCTTCCTAAATGTCTTGTGTCCTGAAAGCTAGTAAATTGAAACCCATTGACCCTGGCATTCAGTCTCTCTGCTGTGTTCATTCGGGCAACAGTCACGTGCGAACATGCAGTTGTGGGGAGGGGAGTGAGGACTCTCAAAGGGGAGACTAGACCCAACACTCATCTATACCCTCCATCACTACAATGGTACCTAGAAGTGCACACATCTCTACTCTTGGGGCCCAGATGCTGGAGGAACTGCATATATGTATATATATCAATATACATATTGATGCAGAACTGCCATTACCATGGGGAATAGCTCTTGCTGTTATCATTGTGGTGTGCTTGCTCTGGAGGACTAAGCAGGGGAAGGCAGACTGAAAGTGATACATCAACGCTGTTGTGGGACTCTAGCCACAAAACCTGGAAGATAGGTGTTGTACCTTCCTGAAGACTTCTAACTAGTTATCACAAAACACTTTCCAAAAGCTTCCTCTCCTCACAGCTACATGTCAGGCCTCTCCAAGCTGACTTATGGAAGAACAATAGAAGCCAGAGTCAGAGCCTGGGTGCTAGGCATGCTTGTCTGCATTGAACAGCCTTGTTCAGACAGGATACAGTTCCAAAACACAGACACTCACTCCAACTAACTCAGGCGAAAGAGGAATAATTGTAGGTATATCACATTCTAGTCTGACTAATTTATGATTTCTAGAGATTGTATTAAATAATGTGATAGTATCAAAGCAAGAAGGCCAGCAGTGAGTAGTACATCCTAGTGCATCCTTAGTGCACACACACTAAGAATCGGATTGGAGAAGCCATGATGCAGCCCAGTTTGCCCATCTTTCCACCTGTCAGCCTTCCTGAAGCTACATAGCTGGTACATCTGCTAATTATCTTTGGGTGTCTTCTGTACTTCAGTTGCACATAACTTCCTAGTTCAAAGAGCAGCAGCTATGGTCTAGCATGTTGCTGTCCCCCACTCATGCTTCTTTAGGACAATCCAATTTGCTGTTTGAATCAGGGTATATCCTAGCTCCCCACAACTGAGACTGGGTAGGTGGCACCAACCAACTCTAAGTAGCCAATGAGACTAACCTCATGGTGGGTCTAAATAAACGAGTCTCTTTCTTCAACATCCCACAGGCCATGAGGAGAGCACCTTCTGTTTCTCTGAAAGCTTTAAGGTCCATGTCTACTGCATTCCAAAGGTGGTGGTATGGTAGGAACTTGCCTACAGTAGAGGTCTGGCCGTCTTAAACATCTCCCTCCTCTATGACTCAGTCTCTCTTTTCAGTAGAATGGAGGGTTTGGGCCCAGAACAAGGTTCTTAAATCTTTTAAATGGTACAGTTCTTCTTTTAAGTATAATTCTACATGAACCCCAATAGTTTGAGACGAAAACAAACAGACTCTTGGTGCTGTTAGGTGGGAGGCTTATCTCTTCCATCTGTGACTCCCTTTTCAACAGGACCTCACAGCAAGCACAAAATAACACATAAAGCTACCAGGAGCAGAACACTGGGGCTTCCTGGGAAGTAGGAACTGGAGTATCTCTTCCAAAGATTCAACAGAATTCCACCCAACTAGAGCCAAACTTGGGCATACAAATACCTGCTGTCTGTGTGCCTGTTGGTATCTATCATCTGTCTAGCCCTCCATCTCATCTACTTATCAACTTATTTATCCACCTATGTGTCATAAAGCTAGCTAGGTAACTAGTTGTACTGCTTTTTACGCCTCCTACAAATGAGCATGCTATTTGAACAATAGTCTCCGATTAGTCCCTCCTCTTCGTTCGTATATACATCTTGTCAACACCAAATTTAGCAGTACCAAATATCTGCTTAATCTCAGGCCTGGGTTCTAGTTAAGATAATACATGAGACACAATTCTTTCCCTCAGATTTGTTCTGACAGAACAATTTTAAGAATACCACACTCAAATACATGTCTGTCCGCCCTTGGTTGCCAGTCCTGTGCACCTCAATGCTTCAGTCTGTCCTAACATACAAAGTCTAATAGATATGCAAGCTAAGGTTGTTATGGTCATGCCCAAGGCCCTATCTTTACATGCAGAAAGTCTCACTTAAGCCTTCCAGATCAGTCACTTACATATTTATTACTAGCACGAATAACTTTATAATGATCAATATTTTTATGCATTGTGGGCATCCTACCTTCACATTAAATACCAAAGGTAGGTACAATTATTTTGTCCAATTTAAGGATGAGTTAACCATCTTTGTGGGGGGTTATATAGATTTTAAATATTGAGGTCAGGCCTTATGCCCAGGTAGGCAGACTTTGAAGCACATGCTCTTAAACTCTATGTTCTGCCTCCATTAATCAGTACACACGCAATAGCACAGGTTCATGTGATATATCTATATATTCCATCATAGATGTATGTGCCAATAGAAAATGTGTGCATGTATATGTTCACTGACACACGTGAACAGATATATGAATTAACAAACAGAAGCATACGGGTGTTGATATTCAATGCTAGCATACATATTATCATAGGCATTGCTCTGTGTACAAATACATACACAGACATATACCATACAGAGAATCTCACAGCTGATCCTCATGCATGAATGTATACTTATACATACACACACACTCACATGCACGCACACACTCACACACACTATTCAAACTTGCGAGCTCGGCCAACTCCAGCCACATGTCCTTTCCCGTGAGCTTTCTTCTTTCTCCTTGACTCCAAATGCTGCCCAGTGAGACACTGAATAAGAAAATGTCTAATCCAGGATGTCAGAGTTGCTACTATGTTTTGAGTTAATGTGCTTTATTTCTAGCATCTGGGAGCTCTGTAGTAGAAGGATGACAGGGATAGCCAAAAAGAAAAAAAAGAAGACAGTCCCAATGGAGCCTCTATAGCTGGTGGATGATACCGGGGCACAGGACACAGAGCACAGGGCACCAGGCACAGGGCACAGACAAGGGAACAGGGTACTGGGCACAGGGTACAGGGCACCAGGCATAGAACACTGGGCATAAGACACTGGGCACCAGGCACATGGCACAGACAAGGGCACAGGGTACTGGGCACAGGGTACAAGGCGCCAGGTACAGGGCACCAGGCACAGAGCACTGGGAACAGGAACCAGCCACCAGCCACAGGGCACCAGGCACAGAGCACCAGGCACCGGGCTCAGAGCTCAGGGCACCAGGCACTGGGCACAGGGCACAGGGCACAGGGAAGTCTGGGGGGTTCAGAATTTCCTTAGCAAAACAGGGCATTCAGATTTCAGGCAGCCAAAACTAAGTGAAACTGAGGCGAACTTGTTCATATTGGGGAGGAAGAACGTTCTCTGTGTCCGTGAGCCTAGTCCTTTCATTCTGTAGACGGGAACTAAGGCTCAGAAGAGAAGTAGTGTGTCCGTTCCTATCCCTTATAAAATGTGCCTGACAAGGGGTACAGAAAAGAAACCCGGGCAGACATACAGTTGGTGTCCTGGAGAAGATGTGGAATCGGGGCCTCCAAGCATCAGTTGCACCCAGTCCATCCCATTTTGTAGTCCCCCTTATTCTCCCCTCGCCCCAGCTGCTTCCTCCCGTGAAGGAAGCCTTTAGTTTTCTCTTCTCACCGCCTCAAACTCATCTTCTAAGACTCTCTGATATCCACTCACTTCTCCGAAGCTGCTGCCTTCCCTTCCCTGGGACACTAATGGCTTCCTGATTGGTCTTTCTCCAGGTTCACTCCTTCCCATGCATTCTCTACGCTTCATAAGCACTTAAAACAAATTTATTCGTTTCCATGTCTCCACCGTCTATGGCGCCAGTGGGAAGGATTTTGCCTACTTGAAACAAAAGTCTGCCAGCCGCTGAGCCGCTGCTGGACTCTCCTGACTTTCCTCTTATGCTCACCCGCCTCATAAACCACGTTCTAGTGACAGGCGTTTTCCAGAGCTATCCTGTCTCAGTTTAATTTTCCTTTGCTCAGGATGCTCTTACTCCCTTCCCCATGCTGGAAGTGCCAACTTCGTGATTTGACTTTGGGTCCTTTGTCCTGTTGTGTGACTTAGAGCTGGCACCTTGCTGCCTCCCTGATCACACTTATCACCTGGCCCACACACTCTACCCTCCACCCCAGGATACCAGTTTCTGGAGGGCAGGGATTTTACAAATTCAAACACGTTTGGCCGAACAAATGAAGAGGCGGGCTGCCTTCTTCCCTTCTTCCTGGACCTCCTAAACAATTGTGCTGTCCTCTTCTGTAAGGGGGACAAACAGCGAAATAGCTGAATTGTAGAAGTAAAGGAGACCTGCTCAATTAGATAATTATTGCAAAGAGTCAATTCAGAATGTTGGTCTCTCCCAAAGGTGTTCATTTCCCTTCTGTCTTATAGAAGGTGAACGTCTTTTCTGTTTATCTCCTATCCTCTGAGGCTTTGGGAGAGGATTGGTGGACTGAGGGTGTTCTTAAAAAAACATTTTACATATTCTTTAACAACTCCCTACATGTATATAACACATTCTGGCCCTACTTACTTTCATCCTTTTTCAGCCTCCTCCCGCCTGCTCTCCCCCCCTTCCCCTTATCAGGTTCCCACTCTACCTTCACACCTTCTGTTTCTGTTTTGTGGCCCCCTGGGTGGGAAGCTGCCCACTAGAGCACAACTCGCCAGTAGCTACATCTCTGACAACAGTGACTTCCTGTCCCCCAGTAACTCTCAATCCACCCATCCACATTATCTCCCCCGGGCAAGCCTCATGAAGCCTTCTCATCGGGAACCAAATCAAGGAAGGCTGGGTGAATAAGGAGGAAGGCTGTGCTCCTTTTTATCATTGAATTGTAGAGTGCGTGAGGTTCGGATCAAAATAATAGTTATTGGTAGAGGGCCAGTCAAGAGAAACACAAGGGCGGTTATTATTTACTTGCAAAATGGGGAGGGAAATAAACTTCAGAACTTAATGCTTGCAGTAGACAGCCTGCGATCAAATCTTGGGAAGTGTCTAGTGACGCTTTTAGGTGCACAGTCTCAGAAAAGACATGTGGGGCTTGGGACATAGTTCATCAGGAGAGAACTTGTCTAGAATGCGT